GGAGCACTTGATACTCGTTCTTGAGACACTACGGGAGAAGCAACTCTATGCCAAATTTTCTAAATGTGAATTTTGGCTTAAGGAGATTGGTTTTCTCGGGCATGTGGTTTCGGGATCGGGAATTGCTGTTGATGACAAGAAGATAGAAGCCATCACCGAATGGGAGAGGCCAAAGAACGTCAAGGAAATTCGTAGTTTCCTTGGATTGGCAGGATACTATAGAAAGTTCGTGGAGAAGTTCTCTGTTTTGGCATCACCGTTGACGAAACTCACTCGAAAAGGAGCTAAGTTTGTATGGGATGACAAATGTGAGAAGGGATTCACTGAACTGAAGAAGAAATTGACCGAGGCACCGGTACTTGCATTACCCAAACAGGGTATGGGGTACGATGTCTATAGTGATGCGAGCATCCAAGGGCTTGGATGTGTGTTAATGCAGGAGGGGAGGGTAATTGCCTATGCTTCACGACAGTTGAAGAAGCATGAGGTAAATTACCCCACCCATGATCTAGAGTTGGGAGCAGTGGTGTTCGCACTGAAGATTTGGAGACATTATCTCTACGGAGAGACATGTCACATATACACTGACCATAAGAGCTTGAAGTACGTGTTTACTCAGAAAGAGTTAAACATGAGGCAGAGACGGTGGATGGAGTTGATAAAGGACTACCATCTAGTGATTGAGTACCATCCAGGCAAGGCAAATGTGGTGGCAGATGCTTTGAGCCGGAAGAGCTCATCTGGGGCATTGATAGCTAATTTGAGGGCATTAAGAGCCCAACTGGAGGTGTCCAGTAATGGTGCCTTATTGGCACGGTTTGAGGTGAGACCTACTTTGCTTGATGAGATCAAGAAGGGTCAGGAAACTGACGATGAAATTATGAAGATCAGGGAACGCATGCAAGCGGGACCGGTGGAGGACTTCAGGGAAAGAGACGACGGTCTTTTATTATTTCGTGACCGAGTGTGTGTGCCGGCAGATGATGAGCTCCGAAAGTCCATCTTAGAGGAAGCTCATTCATCGGCTTATGCCATGCACCCGGGGGGCACGAAGATGTATCGCGATTTGAAGGAAAGTTACTGGTGGTCCGGTATGAAGAGAGAGATAGCCGAGTACATCAGTCGGTGCCTTACTTGTCAGCAAGTCAAGGCAGAACATCAGCATCCAGCTGGGTTATTACAGCCACTTTCCATTCCAGAATGGAAGTGGGAGCATGTGACTATGGATTTCGTGGTGGGGTTGCCACGGACCGTGAACAACTATGATGCGGTATGGGTAGTAGTTGATAGGCTCACCAAGAGTGCACACTTTTTGCCTATTAACATCACTTACCCTCTTGAAAGATTGGCAAAGCTATACACGGAGGAGATTGTGAGACTTCATGGAGTTCCCATATCCATTGTCTCGGATAGGGACCCACGTTTCACATCCCGATTTTGGCCAAAGTTTCAAGCATCTTTGGGAACGAAACTGAAGTTTAGCACTGCTTTTCATCCACAGACGGATGGACAATCTGAGAGGGTGATACAGATTTTGGAGGATATGCTTAGGGCATGTGCTCTGGAGTTCCAAGGAAGTTGGGACAAGCATTTGGCTCTAGTAGAGTTTGCCTATAACAACAGTTATCAGGCGAGTATTGGCATGCCTCCATATGAGGCATTGTATGGGAGGAAATGCAGAACACCGTTGTGTTGGGACGAGGTTGGCGAGGCCAAGCTCGAAGGGATTGAACTTGTTGAAATCACCAAGGCTAAGGTGAAAGTCATTCAGGATAGACTCAAGGCTGCCCAAGATCGGCAGAAGAGTTATGCCGACAAACGACGCAGGCCATTGGAGTTTGAGGTCGGTGATAAGGTCTTCTTAAGGATTTCTCCTTGGAAGGGTATCATCCGATTCATATCGAGGGGAAAGCTTAACCCCAGATACATTGGTCCATTTGAAATCCTTGAAAGGATAGGGGCTGTGGCATACCGTCTCAAGTTGACACCAGAACTTGAGAAGATACACGACGTGTTTCATGTATCGATGCTTAAGAAGTACGTGAGAGATCCGTCTCATATTCTTGAAAAGCCACCGGTGGAGATACGTGAAGATCTACAATATGCGGTGAAACCGGTAAAGATTGTGGGTCAACAGGTGAAGAAACTCAGGAACAAGGAGATTCCTATGGTGAAGGTTCTTTGGAGGAGTGATTGAGTCGAAGAAGAAACATGGGAGACTGAGGTCTCAATGAGGGAGCAATACCCGTTTCTTTTCGATTAGACACGTGGATTTCGGGGACGAAATCCCAAATAAGGGGGGGTGAACTTGTAACACCGTCCCCAAATGTATTTACTTTTAAGTGAATAATGTATTGAAACTTGTGGAATGGTTAATAAGTATACGAAGTTGTGAACTTTTATTAATCCTTTTGCGTGAATAGTGGTTTCGCACGTGGGGCCCGCACCGGGAGCGGGGGCTGCCCAATATTCCCGGGACCACATAAATTATCCATCTTGGTCTAGATAATATTTATATGGTGGAGGATAACTCATTTGAGCCATGGAAAGGTCCAGAATTGACCGATTGGTCAAAAGAGGCCCAAATACCGGTATTGGCGATTTAACCGATAAAAGCCCGAAATTTAATTCCGGGGACTTATAAATTAGAGTTGGGGTATGAATATTCATCATAAGAGTCATAATGATGGAGAACACATAATATATTTTATTTGACCCGATAAAATAAAATATATTTAAAACAGTCCGAAAAATACAACTTTCGGGACCGATTGTACACTTCTGGACAAAAGGGGTTGACCTCCCACATGTGTGGGGGCCAACCCACGAATTTGGACACACATTTCAAGGCCTTGGCCGGCTGGAGGAGTGTGGAAGGGATGGGAGAGGAGTGTGAAATGAGAGGAAAGGCATCAAACAAATAAGGTGGGCCTCTCCCACACTCCACTCATACTATTGAGACAAAGAGGCACACCCACCCCTTGTCCCTTGATTATTTTCGGCCAAACACCCATCCAGCAAGAGCAAGGAGCTCTCAAAACCTCTCACCATTGTTGAAGGAAGTTCCAACAAGAAGGAAGCTCCAGGGAAAAAGTTTAAGTTCTAAAGTGTACAAAACTTGAGGAAAGGCTAGGTAATGACTTCGTTTACCTTCTTCTCCTATTTTCTTGAATATATTATTATTTGAGGAATTATGAATAACCCTAGGATTGTTCTACATGTTGATAAATGTGGAACAAGGGGTTGGAAGGTGGTTCTATGTCAAAAATGGATTTAGAACCCAAACCGACAAGTTCACCGGAAAATAACCTTTTAGAGGTTATGTGTATTGATTAAGGTTTTATGATGTTAAAACCTTGTTAGGAACTTGATTTAGAGTACCTTTGAGCTTCGCCGGAGTTTCGCCGGAGTTGGTCAAAGTTTGCCGGAGTTGGTCAAAGTTAGTCAAAGTTCAACCGGGAAGCGTAGAACGCGCTTAAACTCGCTTAAGGTGAGGATGACCGACTATATTGCTTATAATTATTGGGTTAATTTCATAAGATTACCTAAATGAATTATATGTGTTTGGCATGATGTATTTATAATAATAAAATGCCTAAATGAGATTCTTATTGATTATAAGCAAAAATGCATAATATACGAATTTGTGAATAAATTGTGTATGATTATGTGTTATGAATACAATGGTATAATAGTTGTAAACTATAAACTAAATTGTGATAAATATACTTTTACCTCATGTAAGGAAGTCATGGAAGGATAAAAGTGATATTTTGATATTAGAGCCAAGTTATACTTGAATGTGGAATTTAATTGAGATATTCAAATTATTATGAACTCAAGTTACATTTGGAGTAGGCCTTAAGGGTTACTCAAAATTGATGAAACCTAGACTAAGAAGTGGTTTAGGGATTAGTTGACGTGACTATGAGCCGAGCTCTAGCACGTGGTAGCATGACTATGAGCCGAGCTCTAGCAAACGTAGGGTGACTATGAGCCGAGCTCTAGCACAAATTAGCATGACTATGAGACGAGCTCTAGCAAACGTAGGGTGACTATGAGCCGAGCTCTAGCACAAATTAGTATGACTATGAGCCGAGCTCTAGCAAACGTAGGGTGACTATGAGCCGAGCTCTAGCACAAATTAGTATGACTATGAGCCGAGCTCTAGCAAACGTAGGGTGACTATGAGCCGAGCTCTAGCACAAATTAGCATGACTATGAGCCGAGCTCTAGCATGAAGGAACATGAGTTAAGTACAAATGAATAACATCTTGGATTGAGGGTCTTGGAAGTTGAAACTTTGATTATACTTAGTATAGTTGTCATTGTACTTGTCAAATGCTTCCAAGTACTGACCTCCCCTTCACGGGGGAGGCCACCTCACAGTTTCAGGTAGGGAGTAGAGCTTGCTACTACCGCTCGTTGCTTCGGGGAATTCAAGGAGGAAGGCGTGGTTCGTGCTTCTTCTGTTTCTGTTTTGAAAACAATTTAAATAATGCTCATGGATATTATTTCGAATATTTATTTGGGGGCTTGTATGCCCGTGGTTGCCACGTGTGGCTTGAATATTTGTAATTATCTTTCCGCTGCTTAATTAAATATTTTACATTATGATGGTTTATGGATGTACTATGTGTGAATGGTATTCAAGACGCCTAGTATAGTATGGATGAGTTGTACTGCGGTTGACTATTCGTACTGTACGGCGGGTTGTTGACGTGTCCGGTAGGTCCGGGGCGTGACAGATAGCTCCACCCACTTTTTCCAACCACAAACCTTGCAATGGTGCCAACAGTGACACAAGTTGTTTCCTATAGAATATTTAAAAGGTCATTGATATACTTTAGTGTTTTATTAATTTTTAAAATTTTAAAAATTTTAAGATACCTCTTTAAGGCAATTTATATTAGCAATACTCATAAGAATAGCTCTATATGTAAGCTTCTCTTGCTCAGAAAAACTGGAGCCTGAGGTTTGGCTTTGAGTTTGACCATGTGGCTCGTTCACTTGATTTGATTTGAAGCTTTGATAATTTAAACATGGAGTTATATTTAAATAATAATAAATATTATTTCGAAAACAGAAATTGTAATTAGCAGAACATTAATCCTTATGATATACCTATCTTTGAATTGCTGAATTTCTGCAATGTCTTCATTTATGAGCAGTTTGGAGCTGTACATGCTATTTTGAATGGTGATAGGATGCATGCCTATCAAATGAGTGAGGTATATTCTATTAGAATCTATAATATGTATTTGTACATAGACATGAAGATGGTTTGAACAAAAAAATTCTAACCTTCCGGTTCCTTGATTTTTGCATGAGTCAAGATGATAACAGTCAGCTCCGATGGATGATTTTCACGGAAATTCAACAGTTTGGTAGCATAGTCGCCCCACAATGTGCATGTTATCATATCACCACTACAACAAAAACATGGTGTACTATTTTCAGTAATGAATATTTCAAAAAGCTTAAATTTTAATAATACTAATTAAGATAATAGGAGTATTTGAAGCTAATGACATTACCTGAGATCTTTCATTAAAAATGATATTTTTTTCAGCGAAGCATTAGCCTGGGCATTAAGAACGTCATGCAGAGATCCAATGACATCTATTTTCATCCATTCAAAAACTAATAAGTAACATATCAATTAAATTTTTATTATAAAACTACAAAATTTATGCGCGGTTATTATTTGATTCTCACCAACCAAAACATGAGTGTCTAGTTTGCCACTTAATATATCACAAAAGCTTCTAAACTGATAGTGATCCATGGAAATATCGGAGAGATTTTGTACTTTTAGCGTTGTACCACTTGTGAGTTGAAGCTTGAATGGATGGTCACAAGTCTTGTATTCCCCATCGTTGCGTAGGACACAAAAATTCTGCATCACATACGTTTCTCCTTCTTTAAGTGTTGGCTTCCAAACAACCATCTCGGCATTCCTCGCAACTGCTTGTATCTTATGGCCCTAATGGATGCAAATAATTTTAAATTAATTTTCAATCATAATGGTGTGAATTATGAATTACAGAACTACTGAGATAGTAATTGTCATTCCTTGGCATCCATCAAAACCATTTCCATGAACTTTAAGGAATCAACACGACAGAGTGAAATCACTCTAACCGCAATCTTCCATGTCTCCTTTGAGTCGTTGATCTCTTCTATTGTGTTTATCTTGCGTGCCATACTACAGGGTCTAAAATTTAACGAAAAGGTAATAAAAAGAAAACACATTTAATACAACATGATCTGATGAAAAAGGAAGAATACGTAAAAGGAAGAAGAGATAAGTAATTTGATATGCGTTTGCTTGAGAGAAATTCACTGTATATCAAAACTCAAAGCCACCCCAGTAAACAAATACCATCATAAGGAATCAAGTTAAAAAAAGAAAATGGAATAAGAGATTATATAACCCAAGTACGAAATGCTATATGAGGTTGTCTTGCTGTTTTTAAAAGAACTTTTAAAAATCAAATTAGTTTGATGATTATGTTGGAAATGCAAGATATTAGATTTAGAATTGTTAATAGCCTTATAACTTATATTCGGCAAAATACAAACACATGAAAGGCTAAATAGAAAGTTATGTATGATCAAACACCGAATTAATGAAATTTAGAATAAGTAATTTTAATTTTAACATTCAGGGAATTGAAAATAGCAAATATAGCTTTACAATAATACAAATGTAAAAGGATTTAAAGGGTAAGAAAGTAAACAAAATAGGCAGCAACTAAACAACAAATAACAAACAGAGAATCAACAAATACAGAAACCAAGAATTAGAGAGTACCTATGCTACTTGGGCACTCAAGGATTTGTGCTTCCAGAGCAGGGTGAATGTGGCTGAATAGTACACCTAGCAGACATAAACATAAAACTTTAAGCCAAGGCTATACATTGCATTGCAGTGATTTTAAACAATCTATGGTCGATAATCAATTGAATTAAAAAAAATGAGAGAATAAGACAACACAATTTGTTCAGCAAAAAACAAAGCATAATGAAAAAGTCTCTATCAACATCTGGTCAGCAAAAAGAAAAAACCATTGTTCATCAAAAAACAAAGCATAAAAAAGTCTCTAGCAACATCAGTTCAGCAAAAAGAAAAAAACATTGTTCATAAAAAAACAAAGCATAAAAAAGTCTCTAGCAACATCTGTTCAGCAAAAAAAACTTTGGTTTCATATAGTACTATCCTTTAGAGGCATGGTTCAGGGTTCATGATAAGTCCGTATTTAGACACGCATTTGATGCGTGTTCGGGTCGGATTTTGATGATTTTGTTAGGTCCCTGTTTTCTAGTCTATAATATGTATGTATGGAAGATAGATCTGGGATTGAAGCTTTCCATTGATATGAAGGTTTTACAGAATGATATGAGAGTTTTTAGCGTAAAAACCTTACACAAGAATAGGCACTGCGGCACAGAATATTTCGAAAAGCTTAACCTAGCCTTTCCCTTAAGGCATATATATAGCCTGACGGGAAAGGTAGGTTTTACAATCATTTGGGCTCCTTTTTCTAGGAGGCATATTCATTATTCATTATTAAGGTGTCAGAGGAAAACCAATCTCTACACCATTGATCTGAAATCGGTACGATCCTCCATATCCATCTGTCTCCTGTCCAAAGCATCTGAAGAACAAAGTAATCTATGGCACAGACGTCTCTCACACTTGAATCTGCCAGCCATCAGTTCCCTCTCCTCGAAGAAGTTGGTGAAAGGACTGCCTGTTCTGAAGAACTCCCCCAACCATCACTGTTCTGCATGTCATTTGGGAAAGATGAGGAGAGCATCACACAAGTCAAAACAATTTCCCTCCTCATCTCGTCCCCTGGAGCTACTACATATGGATCTGTGTGGTCCGATGCGCGTGCATAGCATCAGTGGACGCAAATATACTTTGGTAATTGTGGATGACTACTCACGCTACACATGGACCAAGTTTTTGCGCTCCAAGGACGAAACTGCAAACTTAATCATGACGTTCATCAGGACCATACAGAACTATCTACAGCAGAATGTGAAGATCATCAGAACTGACAACGGGACGGAGTTCAAGAACAAGGAACTGACCGAATTCTATGAAGCTCAGGGAATTACTCAACAGTTCTCTGCAGCTAAGACACCACAGCAGAACGGTGTTGTAGAACGACGGAACAGAACCTTGGTGGAAGCAGCCAGAACCATGCTGATACAGTCAAAGCTTCCTCACTTCATGTGGGCGGAAGCTATCAACACGGCTTGCTTCACACAGAACAGGACGGTGATCCACAAAAGATTTGACAAGACGCCCTATGAGATCGTGTTCAAGCGGCTCCCTAACATTGCCTTCTTCCGCGTCTTCGGCTGTAAATGCTACATTATGAACGACAGAGATGCTAGGGGGAAGCTTGATCCAAAAGCAAATGAAGGGATATTCATTGGGTATTCTACCAATTCCAAGGCGTACAGAGTATACTTGAAAGACAGAAGAACCGTCATGGAGAGCATCAATGTGAGCTTCTATGAAATGGCGGACTTGGCTTCTGAACATTTTCATTCTGAACCATCAACCTCTGCAAACAATGAAACTCCATCATCTTCTGGAGTAGGAGGGCATGGAGGTGAGACTAGATCAGATGAGCATGTGGTTCTGGATTCTCTTTTTGAGCATTGCTACAGCCAACCACGTGCAGCACCAACTCCAAATGCTACAACCACTCAGAACCCCCTGTTACCTGCTCCAACCACTGAAGAAACCAACACTCCTACTCAGAATGATGATGAGCATACAGATAATGAAGCTGAACAAGAACCAAACTCTCCTGTTAATGATCAAACTGAGGAAGCTGCAACGCAAGAAACCCCAGAAGCACAACCAGAGCAAGAATATTCTGACCCTGATCATCCGATCATAACTCCACAACCTCTACAACACGAGAGAAAGTGGACTAGAGCACATCCGCCAGAGCTGATAATTGGAGATCCATCTCAAGGAGTCAGAACCAGAACGGCATCAGTCAATGAATGCTTATACTCATGTTTTCTGAGTCAGAAAGAACCAACAAAGATGACTGACGCATTGGCTGATCCGGACTGGGTAGTTGCAATGCAGGAAGAAATAAATCAGTTTGAAAGATTGAAAGTGTGGACCCTGGTGCCATGGCCGTACAAGAAAACCATTATTGGCACCAAGTGGGTCTTCAAAAATAAAAAGGACGAAGATGGTGTGATCGTGAGAAACAAGGCCCGCCTGGTTGCAAAAGGTTACAATCAACAAGAAGGAATTGACTACGATGAAACCTTTGCACCAGTGGCAAGGATTGAGGCCATCAGACTATTTCTAGCATATGCTGCACACAAGAGTTTCACAGTGTATCAAATGGATGTAAAGACAGCATTTCGAATGGAGATTTGAAAGAAGAAGTCTACGTTGCACAACCTGACGGCTTTGTTGATCCTGAACGCCCCAATCATGTATATAAGCTGAGAAAAGCCCTGTATGGTTTGAAACAGGCACCGAGAGCCTGGTACGAAGCACTGTCAGATTTTCTTGTGGAATCAGGCTTCTCGAAGGGAAAGATAGATCCAACTCTCTTCATCAAAAGACACAAGGGTGACATCATGCTGATACAAATTTATGTTGACGACATCATCTTTGCCACGTCAAATCCAAACTTCTGTAAAAAGTTCAGCAACCTGATGCGCACCAAGTTCGAGATGAGTATGATGGGAGAGTTGAACTTCTTTCCGGGGCTTCAGATCAAGCAAATGCCAGACGGAATATTCATAAATCAGTCCAAGTACATCCACGATATGCTAAAGCGCTTCAAAATGGACAGCAAGTCGACGATGAAAACCCCCATGTCTCCCTCACAGAAGCTCGACTCTGACCCTTCCGGGAAACCAGTCGATGCTACCAATTATCGGGCTATCATCGGTTCCTTGCTGTACCTTACATCTAGCAGACCAGATATTGTTTTTGCAACCTGCCTATGCGCCCGCTTTCAAGCAAATCCGAAGGAATCACATCTGAATGCTGTTAGAAGAATACTTAGATACCTCAAAGGAACAGTCAATCTGGGCCTTTGGTATCCTAAGGAATCAGGCTTTGACCTTGTTGGATACTCAGATGCTGATTTTGCGGGTTGCAAATTGGACAGAAAGAGTACATCTGGCGGTGCTCAATTTCTTGGTGAAAAATTGGTGTGCTGGTCCTCTAAAAAGCAGAATTGTGTGTCTACTTCTACAGCTAAGGCAGAATATGTCGCGGCTGCTAGTTGTTGCTCACAAATATTATGGATGAGGACCCAGCTGAAAGACTACGGGTTCACATTCTCACACATCCCGATCTACAGCGACTCTCAAAGTGCAATAGCCATCACGTGCAATCCGGTCCATCATTCAAGGACGAAGCATATTGACCTCAGATATCATTTCATAAAGGATCACGTTGAGAAAGGCACCGTGGACATGTACTTTGTGTCTACGGAATTGCAACTGGCTGATATATTCACCAAAGCCCTGGATGAAAAGAGATTCAATTTCCTGGTCTCTAAGCTGGGGATGCTGAACCTGAACGAATGAGTAACTCTGAACTGTGTGTGTGCGTGTGCTTTCATGTTTTTCATTTTTTTTATTTTAGCATCACATTTTCTCTCTCTCTCTCTCTCATGCATCATTTTTCTTTTTATCTTTGCATGCATCTCATTTATTTTATTTGCATCATTTTTTTAAAATTCGTTCATCTGTTGAGGGGGAGTATTTCTAAATTGTGTATAATCTGAGGGGGAGTTTGATAAAATTTTTCACTCTCAAAAGAAAAGGGGAAGCAAGTGTTGAGGGGGAGCATTTTAAAAAGTTGAAATCAGGCTAATTTGGGCCCGTTAAGTTCAAAATTTTCTCGAGCCTATTAAATCTCTTACAAACGAGCAACCCTCCCCATTCATCTCTTGCGCGAAACTCTTACACTCCCCAAA